CGTGTCCTGCCCCGGTGCCCGAGCTGGTGCCTTCTCCCAGCAGATGCCCCGCTGTGCGCCGCTTTCGCCAGCTGGAACGCGTCAACCGGTTCCGCTCTGGGACAAGTGTTAATAAAAAGTGTTCCTTTCGGGACTTTTCCTGACAGACAGGGTTTAGTTACAGTTATCGGAGGTAGATTTGGTGCATTACAGTGGCTAAATCACAGTCCTGCCCTTCTTTCACGTCTTGCACAACCCGCCATTCCCTGTCCCCTCTTCCGTCTCCCCTGGACTCCGTGCTGTCTCCAACATAACCTGTCCCTATTGCGATAGGCAGAACTCTCCCGATCTCCTTTAAACGTTAATACGTACGGTAAAGGACTGTTTCCTGAAATGACTTGGAATAAATTATTCAGAAGGAGCAGCAAAAAGTACAGAGATGCTTGTGCATGAAGAAACTATGGGAAAGCCCTAAGAATGTGGAATGGCATTAAAAATGTGGGAGCACGCGTTTCAGGGCATCTTGGAGTTCTGGCTTGTGTCTTTTCTAGCAACCGAGATGCCAGGTATGCTGCTTCACGTGCCATTCCTACAGCCCAGCCATAGCTACTGCCTGTCGAAAGAGAGTTTTGCCAAAACGGGCCCGATTGACGTAATGTCACTGCGGCTTTAATGGAGAAAATGGTAGGGAAACTGAAAGGAATCTAACAGGGGAGAAAGTACATCCACAAGCAGAATCACTGCAAGCTGCAGTGCTGGGGCACCAAAACCAAACTGCTTTTCTGCACAACGGAACTCGATTTTGTTTTCCCAGTGTTTGACTGAAACTGGCCTTCTGTAAGGTTGGTGTCAATGGGCAACCTGTTATCTCTTTTTTTGAGCGGTTTCTGATGAATGCCCTGCTACTGTTTCCTGGGCAAAAGTGACTCTGTTTGGTGAAAGGCAATTTAAACCCCAAAGCAGGGCTTCAGGTGAGCTCCTTTTGGCTCAAGATTAATCATAAACCGAAGCTAAAACGGTAGCGTTACATGGCTGATGCAGGATTCTTTTTAACCCAGACTGTTTTTCAGGAGTAAATTCTGTCTATAATCTCTGCGTATGCACCCTGCGCCTTGATTGAATCTGTATATCAACATGAGGAACTACATCCTGAAATCACAGAAATTAGTGTTTATTTGCCTGTGCAATGTGCCTTTTAAAAAGGGTGAAAATTGAGCTCTCCTCTAACATTCCGATTTGATCCTTTCAACGGTGGCTGATGATCTGTGCAGTTGGCAGAGGTTGGCACCTTCAAGCCAGGCGAGTGGAGAGCATCCTTCTCCCTGGAAAAGTTTGCAGGTCAGCAGAGGGTAACTTGGCGATGGGAAATGTCCCCAAGAAAGCACGAGTTTCAGACAGTCCTTCTGCGGTCTGAGTTTCTCCTGCCAGGTGGAAGGGGCGATGGATGCGTTTCAGAGCCAGCTTTCTGCAGGAGATGCGAGTCCGATGCTGCGGTGATCTGCCACCGGGAGTGGGACACTGATAAGTAGTTTCGGTGTGTTTCAACATCACAACAGAAATAGTGTGACTTTTCTTGTTTGCCACCACAGTTCAACCTACACATCAAAAAGCACCATCTGAATCACTGTCGTGAGAAAACCTGTGCTGGCACGGTGTGTCAGCCTCTACGTTTCTGCAGGTGGGTTCAGGAATGCAGGAGAAGGTCCCATTCTGCCTGGCGTATCCACCAAGGCAGCGGTGTGCACATCCGCTGCCTGTTTTATCTCTAGGCAGCAGCAGGGTGCAGCACTGGCGAGGTTCCTCTGGTTCCAGCACCCGCTGGGCACTGCGCTGACCCAGAGCTCCCCTGTCAGCACTGGAAATTGCAGAGACTCGCCAAATCGGACGCCACTTGCTGCAGTGGAATTCTGCTCAACTGAGGCCTTACAGAATCCCAAGTCCTTCTTTGAGCAATTGCATGGCATGCCTATGGGGATTTCAGAAACGTGGTCTTTCCTACACTGGATTACCTGTTTATATCGGGTTGTCTTAAGGGGCTTCCGTTTACAGTGTGGCCAGTGGCCAAGCAGACCTGCACTCAGACTCCCGGCGTTCTGTGACCAAGGCAGTGACAGAGCCTGATGGAAAATGTGAGAAAGGGTTCAGCCTGCCTGACGTTGGCATTGTAGGATCAGTTAGTGCGCTTGCTACAGGCATTGCTGACGTCAGACCAGGGAGAAAAGAAAATCCCCTCCTTTCCTCCTCCGCAAAAGAAAACTAGGTATGTCGAAAAATAATCTGATACAGTCTTGTTGGCTTCTGTGGCGAAAAGCTGTACAAAATCTCTTCCCATTTGCAGCTCAGGGTAGTTAAAACCATTCCTGTAGGTAACTGGGAGCTGACGTGATGTCCCAGCTGCTGCGGTGAGCAGGAGACTTGTTTCAGCTCACCGAGGTTTCCTCCTCCGCAAAAGAAAACTAGGTATGTCGAAAAATAATCTGATACAGTCTTGTTGGCTTCTGTGGCGAAAAGCTGTACAAAATCTCTTCCCATTTGCAGCTCAGGGTAGTTAAAACCATTCCTGTAGGTAACTGGGAGCTGACGTGATGTCCCAGCTGCTGCGGTGAGCAGGAGACTTGTTTCAGCTCACCGAGGAAGCGGCTGCTGCCTTCCGAATGAACACCACCAGGGTGAATGAAAAATGTTTGCATAGGAATGATATCCTCTTAGGTTTCATAACTCAAGCCTTCTTACATAAACGCCGGCACATTTGCTTTAGAAACTGGAACAAGAGAGGACACATTAGGGCTTCCTGGAGCCTGTGTGTGTACGGGGAGTACAGAGCTTTGCCTTAGCATCACCTTCCATCACCGCCTGCTTCTTACTCCTGCCCTGGCCCCTTTCATTGCAGCCAGTGGTTTTATCAAGGACACCACCTCAGCGGCAGCTGCAGAGGAAATTATCATTTTAATCTGATTAAAATTATCATTTTAATCTTTTTCCAAGTCGGTTGATGGGTGAGATCCTGAACGATCAGGGCTTGGTGGCACTAGCACGCTGCAGCACCGGAATGATGACTTTGTGTTGAAGTGCTTTGTGAAACTACTTTCTGCTCACATAATTCGTGTTGCTGACACTGTGCCTTCCTCCCGAGCAGGTATCTGTGGTGATAAGATGGAGCCTTCCCCGTTTAATAGGAGACAGTGGACTTCACAGTCTTTGAGAATCACTGCGAAAGAGCTTTCTCTGGTCAACAAGAACAAGTCATCAGCTCTCGTGGAGAGGTTTTCCAAGTAAGTGCCGTGAGGGTGCTGCACACAAGCTGTGTGTGTAGGTTGACAGCTGGTACCGTGAACAATGACTACTGCACTGACAGTTGCTTTGCTTCTTAAAAGTAATACAGCTCTGCAGGCATTTAGGTTCCTGGTTTAGTATGTGCTGGGCGGCGCTTTTCCTGGTTGCCGACACCGTATTGTTTCAGCAGTTGGAATTATAACATCTTTCTCCTGGCAGAAAATGAAGTACAGTGTTTTCTGTCAGACTATGAGTTGCAATTTGGTTTTGAGGGCAGAGTATTGGAATGTAGGTGCTCACTGCCATCTCAGTCTTTAACTTCTTAAGCATGAGCTACACACATCTTCACTGTTAACATGGCATTTCCTGCCTGCGAGGAAGCAGCAGTAACGCTTTGTCAGTTAAATGGAGTAGTTCTGTCAGCTGCTGGGGGTAGATGTGACCCTGTAGTACGAGCTCCGTCACAGAATTTCACAGCAGTAACATTCTCACAGACATCCCCTTCCAGATGTCACACAACTTGTGTGGAAAGTTGTATCACCCCTGCCAGTTCCCTGAGGTGGATGGTGGGTCACAGTCACCTCATAAAGCAATACTTTATACACTGAGGAAGCCGAGTGGTGGTGGCATATGTGTGTTTCCTGGTAAAGCTTTTGTTTCCTTAAGGAATATATAGCCTACAGCTTGGATTTTCAGTGGGATTTGGGCATTAATAGTGTCACAGGGTTTTGGAGTGTTTCAGCCTTGAGTGTGGGAGAAACTTTATGGAGTCTGAGAGGGAAGGATAATTGCAGCCTGGACTTGACACAAACATAGCTCTTTGCGTTGCTCTCTAAGTACGCTGTCCTAAGGAGAAGCTGCTTGCTCTGACTACTCTCGTTAAGGTAATTTATTCACTCATTGAAGCTTGATTACAGAACCCGGTCATCTTGCTAAATGTTGGTAATCCTTTGGAAAGGGCTTACTGGAAGTAATCCAAACTGCTATTCCCTAATCAAGTAGAGTCCCTCTACATAAGCAGTGTCAGTTCCTTGGAAAAATAGAGTCCTACTTCCTGTCTTTCCCAACACCGACACTCACAGTGAGCAGCATACTTTTCCTAAATTGCTGTTACCTAACTGTTTGTATGTGAAAACATTTTTCATTCCACACAGTGTTGAGATTATCAGTTTTGCCGGGTCAGAGACATGCATGTTGGAAGAGCAGAGCCTTAACAGTGCGCTGCGGTGGGCTGCCTTACAGAGCGAGTGCTGCCCACGACTCTTCGATCCTTGTTTGTTCTGCAGTGCTCCCCGGCTTCCATCCCATGTGTCTCTGTTGCCTCTTCCACTATTGATCTCTCCTCCTCCATGAACTCACTTTCTCAGCGCATCTCCTTCAAATTGTGGAACCTTTATCCTTCAGAGACATGGGTTACTGTGTTTGCATCGATTAGAGGGGGCAGCTGCACTTCATGAGCAGCTTTCGGCCTGTACACTGAACGCAGCCTGCAGGGCAGAAATAAGTAAGGGTGCGATTTGTCCGCTCTGGTGCGACAAGAGGAGTAATCTGCACTGGAGCACAGTATTCACAGCAGGAAAAAGATCCATCATTATGAAGAAAAAACGAGTAATAGAGCAGGTATCTGCACATAACAATTGTTTTCTTAGGAGCTGAGCCCATGACAGACATTAGTTATCGGTTTGATACCAGCAGTTATTTAAAGTCTGAAGCTGATGACTGTTATTAGGGTCTCATTTACTACCAATAACATACTCACGGTTGTATCAAGAGAAACATCATTTGCCCAAGCAGACGCTGGGTGTCTGAGAAGCTGTGATAAGCAGAGGTCTGCTTACAGGTGGTAAATTTTGCCACTGGTGACCAATTTGCGCGTTTCGGAAGCGAAGTGCCGTCACCCCGCGCAGCGTAATCAGGTCTGTGTGCTCCTGGCTGGGGACGGACTTACGCCCACTGGAGTGGTGTGCAGGTTGCTGGGAGTTTTCTATAGCTTCTTAAAGGACTTTGATTCATGATCCAGGGTGGCTTATCTTCGGAGGGCTGTGATTACTGTTTCCACTGCTGGGATGGTTCAGCTGCTCATGAAGCAACTGCTGAATTGGGGCAGTTTACAATCCAGCATAGTAAAATAAACTGGCACTTATGTAGATTTTTTGCCTATGCCAAGCTGTAATTTGTTACGGTTCGGCAGCTGCTGTATAAATAGCTGAGTTATTCCTGCAAGGGGGCACAGCAGACAGCTGGGTGGCGGAAACAATACAGCTATTCCAAGGTAAACTGCCTGTATTTGAGAATCACAGTGCTTAGGTAATGAAAAATATTAATGTATGCTGTTACTGTAAACTGAATGACTTTGATTGTGTCTGTCACTTTGCATTGGTCTGGTACTATTTGCTACTGTTTTTCCAGCCTCTGGTTTTATTTGATAGATCTGGGAAATCCACAGAATCCTTGGCAGGGAGGGGGATGGGAATCTCAGCTGTCTTGAAGAACATTCAGTATTCTGGTTAAAAACTGTGGGGTTTGTGTTTTGTTTTTTGTCTCCTTCCTCTTTCCCAAAGGTATCAGAAAGCAGCTGAAGAAGCCACTGCTGAGAAAAAAAGGAATGTAAGTATTTGTTTCCTAGGCAATAAGCAACAGCCTGCGATCAGAGCCGATGGGCTATGTGCAGGGCTTCTGTGACAGCTGATGTTTGGAATGTCAGAGTTGCTGCCATGTGTCCTGCAGAAAACCTGGCTTAGGCGTAGCGTTTGCTTTTGATTCATTCTCCCTACCCCTTCCCAGTGTGAATGAAAGGAAAGAAAACCAAGTGCCTTGCCCAAAGCTGTGTGTTGGCTCACCGATTTGCTCCTAAGCAAAAGGCAAAACGAGTTAACCACAACACACGAATATCCACCTCTTTGTTCTTAGCTGTAGGCAGTGGTGTGGTACCTCTTCCTTTCTGAACTGAACTGAAAATGCTGCTTAAAAGGAGCTGCAGCCTCTCTGAAATCTGGGGGGGGTGTCTTTGATAGCTTTACAATCCATTAAGGGGGATCTTCTCTGAAGTGGCTTACCAGGTTCCAAATGCCCCTGATGAGGGAGAGCCGGCCTTTCTGGCTCTGTTACAGCCTTTCATTCCCTCCTGTCGGCGACACTGTCCCTCCTGGTCTGGGCTCAGGGGACCCTGGCTGAAACGCCAGGCGCTAAGGTCGCAGGTCTGCGTATAAGCAGATCCTCAGTTTAGTTTTTAGTGGAACAACTGGCAATCTTTCGGGCTATGTGGGTAAGTCTTTGTTAGACCACGCTGCCTCGATCTCTTTAATGCTTGGGGAGTCGTTCTTTTGCTGTTCTGGATACGTATGATATAATAAGCATTCTGAAAAGTACTCCCCAGCCTTAAATTTTCTTGTTGGTTGTATGATCAGGGAGCAGGCAAGGCCCACGTGAGAATGACTTGCGTTATCAAGTTTGCCAGGATGCCACAGGCACCATGTCCAGGAGGGTCCCTGTGGAAACCTGCACAATCCTAAATCCTTCTCTTACGTTACAACATTCGCTTTACCACTTCAGTACTTTCTATAAAATACAGACAGCGAGCAAGCTGATCTTTTCTGAAGTCTAGGTGGATTCAAGTTAATTTGCAAAGCAGTGTTCAAACTGTGACCAGAAGAGTAATAGGGTGAGAGACTTAAATCCTAATATAGCCGCTAATCCTGTTTAATTCCCGTAAGCCTTGCAGACCTGTTCCACTTGCAATGAGTTGGATACGCAGTAGTCTCCATAAGGGAGAGACAGCAAAAACGCAGTGGTTGCAGGTACTTGATTGGAAGGAATGAAACAGGGGCTGCTCCGTTACCAGAGGTAACTACTTGTAGGCAAAACTGGGCTGGAAAGCACTAGGGTTACTACTGCTCCACGTGTTACCATCTAACTCGTGGTGGTAAGGCGGCGCTTGTGACTCGTGTGCCCGTTTCCTGCCGAAAGCTTTCAGTGCGTTGAGTGAAACAGAAGGAGAATTCCAGCAGATAATTGGTATTTAGGAACGGGAGCAAAAAGAGGCTTGTTGTCAGTGCTTGAGCCTTACGCCGCGTGCTGTGACGTACTGAGGACAGAGCTCTTGTAACTAGATGGCTACTGTTAACTGATAGTAGGGGTGCATAACTGCAGAAAAGCAGTGCTTTCTGAAAGCTAATCGGTAGCTTTTTGGAAGGCTGACCAATTGCTGTCTTCTGAACCAGCTGGAAGACGTGGCCGCGCTTGGCACATCACCGTCTCTCCTGGCTGCTCTTGCTGTTGTCTGCTCGCTCTAGGACTAGGAGACCCTTGTTGTCTGGATTTTGGTCTCTTTTCCTTCATGTGTGGATTCAAGCCTTTTGTGTGTCATTTAACTCATTAGAGCTTGACTCCCTTTTTCCTTATAAGGCCATCCTGTTTGCTCACTTCCTGCTTTAGCTCCTGACTTTTCTCTTCTCCCCCCTCCTCCCTTTCCTATCCTGGATGCTTTCTCCATGTGGCACAGTTGTAACTACTCACAGCTGTCTGCAGGAGCGGAGGGCTGCGATCAGCCCTGAGCCTTTAGCTTCCTTTTGCATAGAAAGGAAGTGCTTTAGTGCTTCATCAGGCATAACTGGAATTAACTTCTGGTTCTTTGCAGAACGCAGAAAATCTTCCCCCTCATTTCAAAAGGGGGAATCTGAGCGTACTAAAGAAGAAGTGGGAGAATCCAGTGCTGGGAACGGAGTCTCGGAAGGAAACGCTACGAAACAGCTGTGCTGAGGTTAAGCACAAGGTCGCCAGCCCCGGGCTTGGAGCCGGGAGCAGCCCAGCTTCTTCCTCAGACCCGGAGCAACCCCCGGGGGCTGCCGCCGCCACCCAGACCCCTTCCAGCACCCCTGGCCAGCTGCAGTGTCCTGCTGGGGACAGCAGAAAGTCCAAAAGCCACTCAGCGGAGAGTGGTAGCATGGAAAACTGTCTGAGAGAGTGCCGAGAAGTGGAAAAGCCTGAAGCCATGGAAAACACGGACTCTTCGGGGAAGATTGAGAAATACAGCGTCCCGCTGAACAAGCTGAAGATGATGTTTGAAAAGGGCGAAGCGGCTCAGGCCAAGGTAAGGATCTGTCCCTTCACAGCTTCAGAGAAACTAAACCTCTGCTGCCGCTTTGGCACCAGGAAAAGCCCCTGGAGGGAGTGGCTCCGAACTATTGACTCTGCACATAATTGTATTATTCATTGTTTGAGCTGCAGCGTAACGTAGCTGGTGTTAGTAACTTATTTGAACACACAGTTAGGCGCAGAGAGCTCGTGTTTGGGACTATTTGTGATTGCTTGTTGGAGATGTAAGAAAGGGGTACAGTTACAGGCAGGAAAGTAAGTATGGAAGTTGTTAAGTTGGTTTTTTAAAGAAAGTTTGGATTGTTTGTATCATGTCTGAGGATTAAGATGTGTTATGTAAACACAGATTGTGTGAAAATATATGTGTTTATATATAAAAGAAAAAGTAGCTGTTTGGAGTGAGCTCAGCCGTCTCAGGAGGTTGCAGTTGATAGGGGAGTGAAGGGGTTTTTATGTGAGAGTCACACGCATGCACATATGGAGAGGTATGTGTGTAAGTCCTGCGAAACACTCCCATCTTCTCCTTGCTGCTCCCTCATCTTTGTGTCTTAACAAATGTTCCTTATCGGGAGGGGGGGAAATCCTCACGGGGGGAAAAAATGGGCAGAGATAGGGAGCCAAGCTCCTGCCTTCACTAGTTTTGACTTGCAAATGCACAGGGCTTGCATTTTCCTAGGACTGCTCATGAAATCTGATCCTGCATGTGGACTGCAGACTCTGTGTCCCCGGGGAGAATTGCTTAACTAGAAAATGAGTTGCATATGCGAGTGACTTGCAACATAGTCCTGAGGCCTTGATGCTGCTGGATTTTCCAGTTTTCTCATAGTTTCCTATACTTCTGGCTTTGTTTTACTGCGGGTGGTTTTCTTGCAGTATTGAGTAAAACAAACAAATTTTGTCCCAAAGTTGCTTAAATATGTAACAATTAAGGGCTTCAGAGGAGATTCTCTGTGTTAAAGTGAGTTTGGGGTCTGCATACAGTGATTTCCTGGCGTAGATTTTTGTGGGCTTTGTCATTAGTGCCGTCATGTCCATCCAAAGGGCGGTGATCTCCCGATAGCGCTTCTCTGAACCCTTGCTGTAGGAATGGCTCAGGATTGCACAGGAAAGCACCGTCTTGCAGATGGGCTTGAAGCAACTTTATCTTAGCCTGGGGAGTAAATTGTTTGGGGCTGACTGAATCTGGAGCTGATATTTCTGTCAGGCTCAGTAGTTCTAATATTGTTGAAAACCGACTGAAGAGGGTAAATGCCCTACAGTAGGTAGGAAACTATTCAGGTTACGGTTCCAAGTGCTTACTTTTTAATTTTAGAAGGAAAGAGGCATGAAGAGCTCTAAAGTTTAAGTGTGTGTGGGAGGGGGGTGTCCTTGTAGTCAGAAAGCGCTCTGGTAAGAGTCCTGGTGCTGGGGGTTTATCCGAGGGCTGGAGGATGACGCCACGCAGTCACGTACAGTGGGGACAGTTAGGCGCTCTGAGGGCACACGTCTTGGTCACTGAGGGAGGAAGCGGCTGCAGTGAGGGCGTAAGTTTGGCTAACTGCAGGCTCTGCCTCTTCCCTTTTGAACTCTGTCCGTTGGCAAACCCTGGTTTAAGTGCAAGCCAGGCTTCAGCTGGGATGCAGGTTTTCCTTGGTATTTACTTCAGCCTCAAGGTATAAGCACTGGCACAGCTTTGCTGAAAAATGCCTGTAGAAGCTAAATAGCAACGTGGCTGTAGCTTCGTGGAAGTAAAGGTAAAACAACTTGCCTGATTGCTGGGCAAGTCTGTGGCAAGAATCCAGGTTAGAGCCTGGATGCCTGACTCAATCACACACTCTAAACAAACCTCGTTTTCAAGTTTATAAGCAAAACCTCCTAGTGTGTTCATTTTTTCGTCCATATCTTGCTCTGTCTTCTGCAGTGTAGATACAAGGCAGACCTTTTTTATTGCATTTTCATGGGCAAGGGTGCTCTAGCCACAGCAGAGGCAAGCGTGTCGTCTGGATTGGTTCAGCACCGAGCAAAGCCGAACACCAGGTCTTTTTTTATCAAAGAATTCTTCCTCTCAGTGATAGCGAAAGCGTACCCAAGGAAGATCAGAAGGAAAGAGCAAGCAGACCTGCAATACTTCTTAAAAAGTTGTCTCCAAGGTGGTTTGTGCTTCTCCTTTAAGGCAAACGCTTGCCTTCTTGTGCAGCTAACCTCGTGGGCAGGGTCACATTTGACACAGTTAGTGTATCACCACCTAGGTGTAACTTTTACTTGGTCTTTTGCCCAGCAACTCCTTGTGCCCCAGGCAAAATGCTGTGAACTCTTGTTTGTGGTACCTCTGCACTCACCTCTTTTGTCTTAGAACCTTGGGGCTTTCCAGACATGAGGAATATTTTATCTCGTTTTGCAAGTAGCAGAAGCTGTGGCATGGGAATTGTGGCCCAGCCAGGACTTAAAGGGAACTGGGTGGCAGAAGGCTGGGGGGCAGGGATTCCTGTGTGCAAAAGGTGTTACCCTCTATGAGCCATAATCACCCTGATAACTTGTGGTTGGTCAGAGTATTGATTGTGGTGAGGACAGTCCCTCATCCTGCCTCTGGTAACCTTTTTCTTTTCCTATTACTCTGCTTTTTTTTCTCCACAATATAAAACTGTTGATATCAGAGCTATGCAACATTGTCTTTGTATCTGTGATGTTTAGTATTAAGACATGTACAGAAATATCTCTGAACTCTAACTAAAACTTCTGTGTGTTGGTGTTTTGCATTTTTACTCTCCAGACCTCAGCTAATTGTGTTGCACAGCTTACCTACAGAAACATGGTTTGGGTGAATGGTAATACCCGTAGATCTCTGAGGTGCGGAGCAGCCAGGAGGAGGGGAGCTGGCAGGACTGGGGAGGTGGTTCCGCTGACAGCTGGAGTACTCCTGAACTGCTTAGCTGCTCAGGAGGTGGCTGCCTCTGACAACTGAACTTTCCTGCTGCAGTGGATTCCACAGCAAGGTGGTACAGTGGGGGGGAAGCTCTTTGCTCTTAAGCCACAACTCGCCAGCCTGCACGGAGGTCCTACAGCATCAAGCAGAAGAGTCTTTCTAGTGAATATTGAACCCTTTGCTGCTGGTAAAATTATGGAGTTTTTTGGTTGCTTGGAAGAAAACCTTGATTTTGTGCAAGTGTCTCGATGAGGTGCTGGACCCTGATCCAGAACTCCTGTTGGTGGTAGCTGACGGAACATGTCTCCTAATTGACAACACGGTGGCCCTTTGCCAACTCTTATTTCGAGGTTTAATTTGTTTAATAATTAATTTCAGTGATAATTGACTGTCCTTTGTCTTTGAGAGAGACTGCAGTGAAAATAAATGGAAATGAGGTTCTGAAACAAAGGAGAAGGAGAAGAGGCAAGCCGAACCAACTTCGGTCTTGATTTCTAACTGTCGTCTTCCTCTGAAAAGTGCTGATGGTTTCTTTCAGTGAGGTTGGAATCCCAGATGCAGGATCTAAATTGATTCAGTTAAGACCTTTGTTCCCTAGCAGTGAAAACTTGCTCAGGCACTCGGCTGCAAGTTCAACTTCCCATGTGTCTATAGTGCAAACTTGGTTTTCCGCTTGTGGCTTTGCCACTCCCGCTGTGCGTGAGAAAATGCATGTGGTGCCACGTCATTACCAAAAAGGAAACCCCAAACCCTGCAAAGCCAGGGCAGCGGTCAAATAGTCAGGGGTTTCAAGTGGGCTAGCAAACGTGTTTTCTGTGTCCTTGAAGGATCTTGTCTTCTAATGATCTTCATTGTAGAGCAGTCAGTTGCTAGACCCTTTGGATGACAGATTTCTGAGTCGCAAGGACTCCGGGCTCAAGGTGACTTTAATGTGGACACAGGCTGAAGAAGAGTCATCAAGAATAGTTTGCACAGAATGAGGAATCTGCAAGTCCTTACAAGTGCGAAGACACTCCCAAACTGAACCTATCAGCACACTCAATGGAAGGAAAAGGCTTGTCATAGCTAAGCTCTTTTCCAGTAAGAAAAGTTACCAAAGTCTTAAACCACAGAAATAGAAAATATTTCCCGTGCTAATGGAAAAAGAGGTTTTCCAGCTGCATTTTCCTTTCCTGGTAAAGTTGCTATTTTGTATGCCAAAGCAGCCTGATTTTTCACAGTGATTATCTTACAGTGCAGTTCTGTTAAAATAAAACTTTGGAATTTCCTTCAGTTTGGTGACCAGCAAATAAGGAACTTGTTGGAAGCTGGGGGGTGGGGAGCGTGTGGTTGGAGCATCTTGCCAAACCTGCCTTTTTCCCTGCATTAGCCTCAATCTTCATTTCCAACTGGCTCTGTGATTTAACTCTTCCTAGGGAGGGAACAAAGTTTTGTCACCTTCTCGTGTTTTATAGGTTGACTTTCAGCTGTGAAAACATCCTACCTTGATGAAGTCAAATTAACCTCTGTACTTCCTGAGCATTTATCAAAGCTGCTGAGATTTTTTTTCACAATTTCTTTTATTGAGCAATAGGTTCTGGGGAGTTGGTCTCAACAAAGGAGTATCAGATCTGATTGAGCCAGCCAGAGCATCTGTGTGGTAGTGCTACACAACACCCTGTGCAGCACTGCAGCCTTGCGGATAGTGATTATCCTGGATATCTGAGAATATTTATCTCTAGCACTCTCCTGCTTAAGCTTCAGCCTTATCAGACCTCATTAGGGAATTATTTGGTACCAAATGCATGAGCAATCCAAGTCAAAACAAGTAACTTCAGATAACTTTTATTACAGTAGTATTTATTCTTCTTTCTGTTGCTGAAAATCAACGCACATTTTTGGTAGCTCACTGCTTTCATCCTTGTTCTGATTTTAAATCTTCATAAAGTGACCTTGAACGTTAGCTTCAAAAGAGACTGTATGGAATGCAAGAACCTAGTCTCGATTTGCAGTGGTAAATTCCTAAAAATCTGATATTTGTGGTTCTCTGAGCTTTGGAGAAGGGTAGCTAGTCAAAGGGCATCTACTGACCTCTTCAGGAAAGTGTTTTCCAG